TCCATCCATCCATCCATCCATCCATCCATCCATCCATCCATCCATCTATCCATCCATCCAAACATCCACACATCTGATTGCACCACGGAAAACTTAGCCTGGCACTGTCATCTGTAACTCCTGCTAATGCGGTTAAGTCATCAAAAAGACCAGGGATAATGATCCTGCTTCCCCGACTCAATGTGGTACTGAGGCAGCTTTCAGAGCCGGCTGTTCCCCTGAACATCTGGAAGTCACTAGCGTAGGACCTGAGAGGGAGCTGCAACTTATAGCCATCAGATCTATAAAGCTTTATGGACCCAAAGCCCAGGTGGCCTGACAGTCCCCAAGTTCCTCCCTGGTACGGTTTGAGGAGGAAGTAGAAGTTGGGCTGTGAGCAGGCCCCCAGAGCTGGGCGATGCTAGCGGCCTCCTGTCCCCTTTCCTGGTTGCCCGTCCCTAGGGCAAGAGGGCAGCACACTTTCCTCAGGCTTTCTCTCGCTATACCCACACAGAAGTGCTAAGAGAACAGAGGCCAGCCGCTGTGCCCAAGGCCTTGGCACGCCAGCAGCCTGTTGCAAAGGCACTGTTAGAAACCACCGGAGACATTTTCTAGCCCTGGGCATGAGTTTATGCCAACGAGGCATCAATGGTCCCAGGTTTACAAACGGGATGCCCTCCAATACACACTGAGAGATATTTATTTGGGACCCAGAAACCTTTATTTTTTCATGGAAACACTAATTCCATGCTTAGGTTTCCAGGCTGGAGAAACTTATTTGACTCAAACAGAGCCCAAGAGGCCACACTTGATATTCTGACCTGGGTACACATACTCAAGTATGCATAGACAGGATTCAGGTGACCTGCTTATCCTAGCAGAACAGAACAAAAGATGCGAGGGACTTGAGTAGTTACAGGCTCCGTAGGACAGGAGTCGACTGTGAGGCAGAGCTTGCCCGGTTGGAGCCTGCTCTATTTTCAAATGAGCAGTAATTCTCAGACACAAGAGTTGTGTTCTGTTCTGGGTGCAATGTTCCACCATGCACTGCCAAGTGACAGAAGGACCCACTGGAGGAAAGGGAGAAATTAATCCTGGAAACACGGAGACATTAGACTGAGGTTTGCAGACTTGAAAGTGTCTCTCAAGTTGGAGCCCAGCTTTGCTCTGGTTACTGAGGACCTCAAAAAGCTTTTGTTTGGGTAGAGAATCCTTTGGAATGGCCTTAGACCAGATGCATTTCATGCAACTTGTAATTCCAGGATCTAACAGTTTTAGGACTGAGAAATTGGGCAGCTTGCCTGACAAGTGTGAGCTCACTGGAAGTGAGAGGTGGTGGAGACCTACCAACCCCAGGTGTACTCACCTGCCTTTATTCGGCATACCCCATAAAAAAATCCCTCTTCCCAGCAGGATTTTTTTCTGAGATTTTGTGGCTATCCATTTCTGTGAATCTTTGGGCTGGAAGAGTGACCACAGGCAAGGATATGCTGAGAGTTCTTTTGGGGGAGGGGCAGTTTGCTTGATTCAGGCCAGCTTCCTTTCTGTTGCTATGCTACAATACTCTGACCAAAAGCAACTCTTGGGAGGAAAGAATTCGCTTATCTTACACTTTCTAGCTATAGACTGTCATTGAGGGAAGTCAGGGGAGGAACTCAAGTGGGAACTTGAAGGCAGAAACCTTGGAAGAACGGTGCTTGCTGGCTTGCTTCTAGCTTCCTTCCGCTTAGCTAACTGTCTTACAGCCCAGCACTAAAAGACTAGGGAATGATGCTGCCCATGGTAGGCAGGGACCTCCTACACCAATTAAAAATCAAGACACCTTCCTACAGACAAGCTCACAGGTAATCTGCTCCGGGCACTCCTTCAGCTGAGATGCTCAGTGGGTCCAGGCTGGGTCAAGCTGACAGTTAAAGCTAAGGAGGGTGACGGGTGAGAGGAAAAGAGCTGCAGAAATGGACAGAACGTGGGCTTAAAAGGAAGCTAAAGACGTGAAAGAGACGGGAGAGGAAGTAGAAACCCAAGGAACAAAAGAACTGGAAGATAGTTTGGTTAGAAAAAAGGAACGAGACCAGATGCATTCAGTCGGACAGAACCTAGATCAACCCAAGGTGGTCAGACAGTAAAAAGGAGACGGGAGCCGGA